GGATAAAGATGACTGGATAAAGATGCTGTGTTGTATATACTTAAAGGAATGCTACTCAGCTGTTAAAAAAAGATGAAATCTTGCCTTTCACAACATCATGGAGGAGACATGCAAAGTGAAATGAGTCAGAAAGTGAAAGACAATGACTAGATGTTTTCTCTGTATGTGGAATATAAACAAAGCAAACCCACTAACAAATCACAACAAAAGTCACTCTTACACACTATAAAAAATGGGGTGGTTGCCAGGGAGGGAGACAAAGGGGCTTGGGGGAAGCACAGAGGGCTCAGTGGGGTAATGGGGACGGCACTCGAGTTTCGGGGAGGGTGGGGTGAGGCTTACACTCTTATAGAGGCTTGAAGCCATGCTCTCGAAAATTAGTATTGTAAATCAGTAAAATTTTATCTAAAAAAAGAAAAGTATTTAAAAATGAAAGGAAGTTTGAGTTTTGTCACAGAGTAGACAGATAGCCCTCCCAATCTGTATTTTTTCTGTAACCACGTAATGAGATGCTAGAACACTTTGTCCCTAGTCATTAGCATGAGAACCCACAAGGTTCCCACTGACCCAAACATAAGCAGACCATGATTACTTGGTTGCTGGATGACATCAGTTCTAAGCAAACAAGCAAAACCTTATTTCAAAAAGTATTTTCTGGTTATGAATAACACATAAGTAGAAAATGAAATTATTATTTGGAAGGCCCCATAAAATGATCAGCTTGGATTAGTGAAGGTTTTGTAGCTTCTTTATATGATAGTATCTATTTAAGTAGTTGTTTTTAGCATTTAATTTTGCATTTTATCATCAGACACCATTTGGGGGCATCGGGTATATTAGCTTATGTGTCACTTTTCTTTCTGCACTGGGGTCTGTTTGTAGCATATTCATCGCCAGGGTCTTTTCATTCTTTTTTTAAAAGATTTATTTATTGTTTATGCATGCAAGAACTGAGGCGTAGGCCTTAGGTGTGGGGGTTGAAAGGATTCGCAGAGACAGAGTGGGGGAGTAGAACAGGACAATCAACTGAAATACATTGTTGAGGGGAGTGGTGGATGAGACAGCTCCCTGACTGGGGATTGAATTCAGGCCATAGCAGTGATAGCACTGAGAGTTAACCCCTAGCCGCTGGGGAGGCCATTTTTTATTCTTTCTTGACCATAGAGAATCGCTTGGTGAACATTTAAAAAATCTGTTTCAACCAAGAATTGTTTTTTATTAGCAAATGGAGTGAGGCCTAGAATTCTGCATTTTGAAGATATATTAGGGACCGCTTTTTGAGAAATACTGATTATCCTTTTTCTACTTGAGTCTACTTGCCGTATATAGATCACCCTTTTTCTGTTCCAAAAGAACACATGGAATTTTTGTTGTTGCATCAGTGAGTTTCCCTTATATTCTTTTAATTTTCCATATACTGCGAAAATTTTGGAAACCATCAACTGTCTCCACGTGTCACATCCTTTACCTAGACATTCCATTTTGTTTAGAGTCTTACAATTGAATACTTCATTTTCTTTGACCTTGGGAATCAATTCTGTACAGTTTCAGAATCCTTTTCCATGGGTCTTTGGCCTCTACAGAATTCAGCTCCTCAACTCAAGTGCCCACCATCTGGAAAAAAATCCTGCTTACATTTCTCCACCTCATCAGCTCTCCATATGGCTTCGAAACTCAGTTAAAAACAGATCTCCTTCTTCTGTGTTAAGGATCTCTTGATTTTCACCTCTCCGTTGAGTTATAATTTATTTTTATCTCAGCGTCTGCTAACCTTGAAGACCATCTTTTAAAAAAGATGGTTTAACTCTTAGTTGGGAGAATAGATTTTAAAATTGATTTCGAGGACTAAAATAGTGATCATTTTGAAGAAAGACAAACTGTGTTGCAGATTGACTGTATCTGTACAGATCTGCTGGCTTCCTCAGTGACCAAACACTTCACCTTTGCCTTTGGTCAGTCAGTATAACTTCTTCTAGAATCATCCAAGTGTGTAAACTGGCTTTACGAGGAAGACATCATTGTTCCTCTTTTCCATCTTTTCATGGGATACTCTCTGGAAGAGGATAGATCCACTGTGTATCTTAAGGAGTAGGAAATATGAGGGTAATCAGAAAGGAAATGGAAATCAATTGCACATTTGTATGTAGAATGAATGCCACGAAATACTGCACCAAAAAGTGATTCAAGGCCTGGGCCGCAAAAAAAAGTACGAGAAAAGGACACAGGGAGCAGCGATGCCTGAAATGTCTGAAACCACAGAGGAAATGCCTGACAAGATAGGTAGTAACAAGGTGAACAACATATCAAAGACTGGGAAGGAACAGTCCTTGAAAAAAGACAAGATGGATGAAGGGAAGGAGATACTGTGTGTCGGGAAGGTGTTTAATATACTTAGCTGGGTAACACCCTAAAGGAGAAGATCACAGAATTTATGTGAAAATATACTGTCATTATGAACTAATACTACCACCGGAGAAGGAAGGCTGGTGGAATTACTTAGCGAGCTTTCTCTCTGCATCTAGACTTTTTTTTGCCAAGTATTGATCAGGGACCCTTAAGGATCTGCACTAAAGCCGATGGGGTTACAATCATTTGGGGAGTGCATATTCTCTGGATCAGAGCCACTGAAGCATTTACTGGAGATTTCCATTCTCTGGAGCTCAGGGGGGAAGAAAATGCTGCCTGCAAGACACTGGTGATGTTTCCCCTGAGCCATGTGGGAAGGAGAGGGTGAATTCTGAAATGACTCACATTTGTAGTGAGGTCCCATGACCACAGCTGCCTGAAGCCTTTCACTTCGGTGACTCTTTGAGTTTTCCCTGCTACTGTTGCTGCTGCTGTTTCTGAATTTCCCAGTACAATGAGTTTCTTGCTTCTCAACTCTGCCGCCTGTGCTTTTTCATCATGGACACAGGGATGGGGTGGGAGGTGGAGCCAGCTCCCCCATGCCTATGCCTGGCTCCATCACATGGCATTGGGGGCTCACTCCCCCACTCCGGGGCCTGCCTGCCTTGTGCCTGGGGGAGTCCACCTTTTGTGGCAGCTCCTGATAAGAGCCAAATCGTCTCACCTTCCTCTTTGCAGGGGAAGAAAGGAGAGGCAATGCTCATCCCAGGCAGGGTCAGGGCCTGAGCAATTAAAATGACAAAGAAGCTTGAAGCCACGTTTAGCCCGTATAGTGTCGACTGGATCCTATAGAACCTACATTTATTCCCTGGTTGGCAGATTGCCTCAAAACATCTCTAACAGCGTTTTGATTTTGAAAACTAGAATCCTTTGACCTGTAGCCCTGGTTCATTTTTTTTGTCCTCTATTTCATTTAAATCCAAAGTGACAAGAAGAATAGGTTAAAAGAGTTATTTCCCTTTGCTGCTTAATGGGATATGAAGCCTCAGCTTATGACAGAAAATAAAACTTTCCACTTGGGTAAACATAATTTTCTCTCTTCCCCCTCCTTTCCCCAGAAATTGTCCCATTCATTTGCAAGGATAGAGTAATTCAGCATAAATATTCCCCCTTCAACATCTTCAGTTGTATTACTGGGTTGTCTCCTTACTTCCCTCATCCTGTGAATTTTGGACGCTTCGGAGGCTGAGATGGTGACACAGACTGCACAGGGCCTCAGGGCTGGCCACAGCCGCCGAGGTCCGGGGAAACCACAGACTCTCCGTACCACTCAGCCATCCCTCTGGGGTGGTGTTGGAGGCCCTGCGCCCCATCCCCCGCAGGCCTTGGGGATTGGTGCTTTTTCTTGGGAAGCTGCAGGTGTCTCTGCCCTGTAGAGACTGTGGCATGTGTACCCAGGTGGGCCTAGTGGCTGGTCCAGGGAGGAGGTCGGGTGGAGCTTCCTGGGCTGATGATTTTTGGAAATGTTTCATCTCAGGCTCATTGTTCCTCCTGTCCCACCCACCCCATGTGCACAGCTTTTTCTCAAGTAATAAGGAGAGGAGGCAAAGAATTTTTCACTTAAAAGTATCTGCAAATCCCTTATGGGACTCAATTAACCTTAAGTTGTGTCATTCTTAACACTCACTACATTCTTAACATTCATTCACTAAGCCACAGTTTGTCTTTGGAGAGCTTATTTTGCATATATTAATGTACATTAAAATGTAACAAACAGTTTGGGATGGGGTTGAAAACACCACATGTTTACGGGTATTTCAAGATCATTTTTCTTTTGTGGAAGAAACTCAAAAGTTTCCTACAGCTTGTTTAATATTGAAACTTAATGAGTCTACCTAGTGTTATTACTGGGAAAGTAATGGTAGGTTCTGCCAAGGAAGGGGCCAGACCCTGGGGCATTGGGAGAGAACAGCTAACCAGACTTTAATATAGAAAAATAGATAAATAGGGTGATAATTCAATCGGAAGGCAATGTACCTATCATGCACCAGGAGAAAGCACAGCTGGAGGATTTGAAAGTGATTTGGAAGCAAAAACCTCTCATTGAATTAGAGACAAAAAATCAAGTTAGGGGTTGGCAGTGGAGTGAAAACTGGTTGTGAGGTTGCAGAAAAGAACCGCTGGCTTCTCTGTTGTCAGCCAGAATTCCTCGGAGAGCCCACCCAGCTCAAAAGTTTGCTTTGGGTGAAATCCAAGCCGATAGTCTCCTAAACCACAAAGAAACATAATAAGAAAAATTGTTCCACATCTCCAGGGATTGGCCCTGAGGCTGTCACTGAAACCAAGTTTTGTTCATGAGCCATTGTTGGATTAGAGTATAACCTGGCAGGCATGGGATGCCACCGAGCTCCCAGCTAAGGGGAAATAACTCGCAAAATAGACGTTACGGCGTGCATTGAATTCCTACTGGCATAGATGAAGAAAGTGAGAGGAAAATGTTTTTAGGATTCTTTCATCTTTTTCTGAGGCCAATTGGAGATCTGCAGTAGAAATCTCTAACTTTGTGTTGCCTACATGGTACCAGCTGCTTTCCTAGCTTGCTTTTTAGGTCAAATGAGCACTTACTCTGTGTTCATGTTCCAGGAAGACACAGACATGAGATGGACCAGCTCTTCCTTCCAAGGAGCTCATAGTCTGGAAGTGGGGAAAGACCCCAGTAAGTATAAACCCTAATTTGTGATACAAGGATTAATGTCAAAAGAGAGGCATTGACCGAGTGCTCGGAGAGTTTGGGGGAGTGGGGTGACCAGTTTATTTTTATTGCTGAGGAAAGGTCAGAATTTTGATTAGCATTACTCACATCTCATATGCTTTCTAGGTATCAAACAACAGATTTTCTGAAAGTTTTTTCTGAAGGAATTTAAAGAAGAGTTTTCTAAATTATTTTTGTCCCATTTTCTAGCATCTTCAAAGGTGCTTCCTCTTCCTTTCCTGCCACTAGAGCTCCCTGTCCACCTTCTACCATCTGTCATTGGAGAATTGTCTGTCTCACAGTAGAGAGCCCTCAGGCCTCCTGAGAGAAGGTAGGTGTGGCTTTTGAATACCGAGTCCTCCTTTGCCTAGTAATGCAGAGGTTGGTTTCATGTTTGCTCTCTGAAGATTTTGGTTCCAAGTCGTAGAACTCCAGTCATAGTGGAAAGAGATTCATCCCCTGGTCTGTGTTTAACCAGCATTGGGGTGTTCCTAGAAGTAAGTCATTGGTGTGCTACCCATAATAGTAAAACTAGACCCTTGAACCTCCTCCGAACCCTGAAGACACTGTCCTTATACTAGCATTTCTGTTTGCATATCCTTTCTTGTCTTGCAATTTCTGTGCACACTTCTATCTTCTGATGGCCCCTTAAGGACAGGATATGTGCCTGAAGTATCCTTGTAATTCCTGGAACAGAGAAGAGACTTAGGTATGTGTTGCAGTAATGAGTAGATGATGAATTAATATAGAGTTTTATTCCTGGGTATTTTTAGACCTTTCCATTGCAACTTTAAACCTTGTTGCAAATTTCTTCAAAAAACTATTAATTCTTTAAGATTCAGTGTTCTTATCTGCAATATGGACAATTGAGGTTTCGGATATGGAGATACTCTCATGTGTGCAGTATTGACATCCTCGAACTTCCTAAGTGTCTATGAGCTTAAACATCCTGCATTTGGAATTATAGATTAGTTTTGCACATACTGGAAAAGGGCTGTGTGACGTGGTCCCTTCCCCTGGGAGTGAGCCTTTTCTTAGACATACATACACCTGTGGAGGGCTCTGGGGAGCATATACTTTAGGAAATCAGTTTTCAGATCCACATGCAATCTTTCCTAAAATTGATCCTTGAGAAAGTTCCTTTGCACTGCTGTTCTTTTTTTTTCTCTTTTCACACTTGTCTTATTTCCATTTATTAAGAAAAAGTCAATCTCATCTAATGTGACTTTCACTGTGGTTCACTGTCTTGAGAGGTGAAAACTTCTGAGGCACCAAACTTGGGGCCAGAGGAATGTCCTGCTTCAGAGACAAGTTCTGTGAGAGCCAAGTGAGCCTGCGGGCTCTGCTTCTCTCAGGTCACAGGGTCTCTGCAATGCTCTTTGCTTTTTCTGTCTATGCTTGAATTAGAATTCTGAAGAGAGTTACTTGCCATGAAGTCATTTATTATACATATTTATTTGAAATCAAAAAAGTTGAAGCCAGACTTTTTATTTTTCTAGCAAGCAATAATTTTAATTTGACTGATTGAATGGATGAAAAAATGTGTTTTGCCAATTAGCTTGTGGAAGATACTCTGTACAAATTAAATGAGATAATTTAGCTTCCAAGTCTTAATAAGTAGCACCTATTTAAAGTGCATTGAGAATTAGACTAGACTAGAAATTATGTATTTTGTAATTGTGCATTCTTAGGATTAAAAAGTCTAGAGTGTCCCACTCAACACTGTCAAAGAGGGGGTCAGGTACTTCCCAAAATTCTAGTAGGGGCTCTGGAAACACACCATAGTCAGCATTAGTACTGTTCTTGTTGTTGATATTAAACAAATGAGAAAAGTGTGGTCCACATGGGTTTACATAGTCACTCCTTATTAGAGCCAACTTCATTAACCCCTTTCTGAATAGCTTATACCAACAGCCAGCTCCCCTGATGGGCACCCTGGCAGCTGCACACTCTTCTACAAGTGGGCACATTGGCTTCATATACACCTGTGGTCTTATCCCAGACAGGCCTCTGTCCTACCCAGAAATCATACTACAGTCGTCTCATCTGTTCTCCCTTCTAAAATTTTATTTATGTATTTATTTTTAAAAGATTTATTTATTTACACACAGAATAACTGGGTGTCAGCCAGAGGTGGGGGGGTGAGAGGATTCACCAGAGACAGAGTGGGGAGCAGCAAGCAGGACAGGAGAGGTCTGCTGCGCCCTATGTTTGTTGGAACTTGCACTGCAGAGGCTGGCGATAACTTGATTGCACTGAGACTTAACCCCTGCGCCATCAGGGGTTTTAAACAATGTCATGTGCTTCTAATCCTGCAGTTTCACCTTGTTTCTTACTTCACAAAGGAAATACAGGTAATTTTGGCTACCTGCCTCCCACATAGGTGTGCACCTGTCAGGGTTCTGTCTTCTGTTCTTGTTGCCTCCAGTCGTAACTAGCCAGGGGACCTTCCTCCATGTAAGACCACTATCTACTCAGGACTGGATTCCCATTTCTTTTTTTTTTTTTTTAAATAGAGGCATGTTTTATTTATTTGTTTGTTTGTTTGTTTGCTTGTTTTGTTTTATACATGCACTGGGTACAGTCAGAAGCGCGGGAGGGTGAGAGAATTCACCAGAGCCAGAGCGGGGAGCAGAGCAGGCAGAAGGACCGAAGTACACTGCTGAGGGGAGCAGCGGGCAGCAGGAGAGGTCTGCACGCCATGTGGGACCCTCCTCTGGTGGCCGGGGAGCAGCCGGGGATCGAACGAACTGGCACCGCAGAGGCCGCGGGCAGCTTCACAACCCAGCGCTCAACTGCCGCGCCACCGGGGAGGCCCAAGGATTCCCATTTCTTATTCCTATGTTCTTTCCTTTGTCTTACCCTACTCTACTCTTTTCTGTTACTACTGAACCATCGAAGTATCTTCTACCTTGAACAAACAAATTACTACATTTGCATCATATGTATAATAAAATAATTTTTATGTAATAAATTTTCTCTCAAATGCAGTCTTCACTTTTAAGACATCATATTTGTGTCTTTCCTCTTGATAACTAATTCTCTAAAGAATGGCTAACTTTTCCCTTTCATATTTTCTCCACTCATTTCTTAGCCCACTATAAACTGGCTTCCTCTATTGACGTACATGATTTTCAGTGAGAATGTTTTAGTTCTTACTCTGCTAACTATCACAAGAGCATTTGTGCAATATTTGTTTAAATTTTTTCAACTTTGCTCTTGGCTTCTATGATGCCATACATACAGACTTTCCTTCTGTCTCTCTCTTTTGCTGATCTACCCTTATTTACCCTAAGAACTAGTCTTAGGACATTTTGGTGTCAGCTATGTAATGTTTGCCCACGCCTAGCCCTCCTTCTTCTATATTTTGCACTACCATCATAAACAATCTCCTTCATCCTCATAGTTTCACTTCCCATTGTTAAACAACAAATAGAAGCTTCAAACCCAGCTTCTATTTGCTGATGTGTCATCTCCTGTTGGATATGTCAGAGAAACCTCAAACTCATGTCCAAGACTGGACTTACTCTTCTTTCCTCCAAACATACTCGTCTTTAGGTAATGATACAAACACATAGTCATTTATAAAAGGTTGAAATCAAATATTATCTTGATTCTTGCTTTCTTTCAACCTTAAGATAAAAGATGTAAGCCATCTATAAGAGTTAAAGTACTAAATGTCTCTTATATTCATATTTCCCTCTGGCTTACTTCCACTACCCCAACTTAAGCAACCAATATCTAATATGAGGCACTGATTGACATTTACTGTTCTCTGTCATGGACAAGTAGTTCTGGTCTGTTCTTCACTGTAGCCAGAGTGATCATAAAAAAAGTCTAACATTGTCACTTTCACAATGAAATCTCTTGTTTGCTGATGTTTATAATATAGGTGACAGTACATCAGGATCTTAACATGGAACCTGCATGTATGGACTTTGCCTGTTCTAGTCTCATCTAGTAAGAATCTTCTAGTCTGATTATTTTCCTGTCCTCAAATACTCTAGGTTTTCTCTTCCATCTTTTAACTGATTGTGTCTACCATCATGCTTCTATTAATCACCTTGCATAGGAAATTCCCATTAATTCTAGAGTGTGGCCCAAATGTCTCTTCCTAATCAGCATTTAGGCTATACAAAATGCCACTTTGACCTGTAACTTTTTTAGGAACTGTTAGCAGTTTATACTACACTATTTTTTGTGATCATTAGGTTAGTGATTGTACTTCTGTACTACAAGTTCCATGAAGGCAGAGCTGAGCTTGTTTTGTTCACAGCTGTTATACAGTGTCTAGTAGAGTTTAGCATTCATATAAGTACTCAGTAAATATCAGTTGAATTAAATGACAATATTGTCCAAATTGTCCGCTTTAATTTTTGCTACATATGTGCAATATTGTGTACTCAGGGGTCTGAGACTCTTTTTGCCAAATAATCCATCTTTTTGAAATAGTCAGTGTAACAAAACAGCCAAGGGGAAGAGGAAGGTGAAGGAGGATACTCGCAGACTTGAATTCTGCTAAGTGAAAGGGAAGCAACACTCTTTAGCTGAATATAGCAGAATCCAGAGACTATAATAACAAGGTCTAGGATGCATGTCAGTATCACTCGACTTAAAGAAAATTATGACTAATTCTCAAGAAAAAAAAATCACATGAGTGGAGATGAATGAACTAGCAGCCAAGGATTTTAAAGTAGATTTGATAACTGTGGCCAGTGATTAAAGGGAGATATACTTGTAATGCATGACAAAATAGTATATTTCATCAGAGGGGAAAAAAAAAAAAAAACTATAAAAAATAAGTAGGTCATAATTTTAGAACCAGAAATAATATTATCTAAAATTAAAATCTTCACTGGATAGATGTGACAACAGATTGGAAATGACAAAAGACTGAGGCAGTGAACCCTAAAATAGAGAAATAGTAATTAGTTGATCTGAAGAACATAAATAATAAGATTGAGAAAAAATGAGAAAAATCTCAGGAATATGTAGGACAAGAACAATTTGTCTAAAATGGAGAGGAGAGATAATGAGACTTGAAGTTTTTTTGAAGAAAAAATTGCCATAAATTTATAGATTCAAGAAGCTCAGCAAATTCATACAGTAAAACTAAGGAGAACTGAATCCAGGACTGAATTTGTAGTAAACTACTGAAAAGTTAAGAAAAGGGAAATGCTTTAAAGTAGCTAGGGAGAAGGACACTCCAGGCAGAGGGCAGTGCTGAATGAAGTATCTAGTATATAAAAAAATATCCTTCGAGAATGAAGGCAAAAGTAAAGCCATTTAGTGATTCGAAACCACCAGTAGCAGATTAATATGAAAAATCAT